TGGTGTGATAAGGATGTGTATGAAGTGTGGCTATCTGCCAACAACTAAGATGCCAGCTCACGCACATCATCCTACATTGTTTTACAGCGAGTTACTGATCAATAATTAATATGTTTTTGGGTTTTTTTTGCTTTTACTGAACTACAAGGGAATCACATATCGGTGACTTACTTGTTCCTAGGGGCAATATGTGTGTGTTACAAATCACATTACTCTATGCTGTGAAAAACTAAGTACATCTCATGGTTAGGTAGCTCATAGAATTTATATATATATATATATATATATATATACACACACATATAAACACATTTATTTATATACAGCTCTGTTAAGGTCCTGCTACAGCACTTCAGCCAGGTTGAGGTCTGACTGGTATGAAGTGTTTGTACTAATATGTTGTGTTTGGTTTTAACCAAGCATGGCACCATGCTTTGTGGCCAAACAGCTCCACTTTGTCTTAATTTCTTCATACTTTTTCAGTGTTTTGCAACTTTTTAGCATTTTTTTCTTCTATTTGCACATGCTAACTGAGGCCTGTGGACTTGAGTGGAGATGTAGCTGTTGGACTGCACAGTCTGACTTTAGGATGTAGCAATCCTTCAAACTCGTGCTCGTGAAAGAGGGGGTCACTGATGATCGAGGGCATTTAATTAGCAGCACTTGGATGCTGCTTGCCCTACTAATTCCTATGGAAGCAGTTAGGCTGTATTTAGGGTTTCACAGGACTACAAAAACGTTCTTTTTTAAATGACTGTGCACTGTTTCAAATGTGTAATAGCAGCTTCATGATCTGAAAAAAGCTCAGTACCAAGACTCCTAAACTAGTTGTAATTTTACACAAATCAGTTGTTTGGCAGGCACAGAAAAATAAACATTTAAAGAGCGTTCCAATTTTGAAATCCAGCAAAGCAGTAAATTATTCCATGCCATGAAGTTCAGCTATCTAAGAGAAATAACATTTAGGTGGTGGGGGGGCTTCACTGTTAATGCTGCACTTTACTTTGCACTACATCCATTTACAAACCACCACTAGCTCAATAAGAGCACCATTCTGTTGGTTTTTAGTGTTTTTGTAGCTGTTTTTATGTCTGGCACACCTACTTAAAGGTTAAAAAATATATGTACAATTCAATTCCCCAATGGGCTTGTTTCTGCTAAGTCTAAAGCTTTTCCCCCTCCCTTTTTCTCCATTCACTCCACTAGTTTAAGGCTTAAAATGTTTCAGATATATTTTCTCATCCCCCCCCCAATGAACCATTCATCTACCGCCCTTAAACTTCAAACACCAGGTAACCAATAGCCTATAAAACTTCACTTTCAAAGCAGCCTCTTGTGCTCCCTTTTTCTTTACGTCTCTCCAACTTTCATCCATTTATCTGTCACACTGCTCTCCATACAGCAATTACTCTTTTTCTCTCCATACCTCTCTCCCTAACCATCCATTCTTCTGTCACTTATCATAATCAACTAATATGGTTTCAGTCTTATGTGCTCAATTTCACCTTACATCTTTTCAAATGTGGACTTTGTATTATATTTCTGTCCCCCTTGTCTTGGACTCGAGTTCAAATGCATCTGTGTATCTATGCATGTCTATCTCATTTATGTGTCTCATTTTACTGTATCTATGAGCATCTGCTGTCCATTAACGCCCAATCTCCTTCTCTAATGCACTCCATTCATCTCTACTTCAAAACTTTTCCTCATTTGCCTCCACCCATCTGACTTTCCATCACTCTACCTATCTGTCCCAGTCATCCCCTCATTCTTCAGCACGATGGATGGTTTCTTCTGAGGATCAGTCTGATCACATGACCGCTTTCATTTCTGACTGAAAACACATTTCAAAATATAACATGTGAAAGCCATTCGCACCCAGCTCTGCTGTCCGACCACATTAAAGGAGAATTCCTAAGCAACACTAAGCACTTCAAGTTGTATTAAACCTCTGATACTAAAATCAATCAAGTATATATGGGGGGCAGTAAATAGTGCGTTTTATTTTGGCAGCCTCATTAAACTTCAATTACTGATTTATGTCACAGCTTGATAGTTCTCAATCCAAATATCTGCTGCTACAGTGCACTACCATAGATAGTCATTAAACCCATCCTCAACAAGGGCAGTAGCAAGCCAAAAGCTGGGTTTTCTAAAATAAACATTTTTTTTGTTTTTTTATAGTAGTACAGTTCTTGATTCAGTGTATTTTAAATTTCTGCAACGATGTGGTCTAATAATGTGGTCTAACACATGAAAGATCCCTGGTTCAAGTTTGGAAAGAGACACAAGAGACACAAATCCCTGGGAGGGCTGTGCCAAGTCATCCATCTGCTGTGGCGACCCCTTGCGCATAAGGGAGCGGCAGGAGAAGTAGTAGGTTCACTTGTATAGTGGCATTCAAAATTATCTGAAAGAAGCTTTGTCTGCCCTATTTACTATTCTTCAAACAAGACGGTGTGGAAGTAATCAAGAAGCCAAAATATTTGCAACTGAAGCTGCAATTTTGGTTGCTGTGTCATTCGTTCTTCAATCAACCTACTCTGGGTGTGTTTTTACTCAAACCAGTGTCAATAAGCTCAATACCAGCGTATTACAATTGCAAAAAAGTGTAAATGTAGAAGGTTATGTCGAGGTTTAGACAAATGTATTACATTTATAACATCTCTAATAATAAATGGTACTCTAACATGACAAGGCTGTCTGCTAGTTGCCACTCAACCTTTTCAATGAAGTGGCATAATCGTAAAAGTTAGTGGAGAAATTAGGCAACTCATACAAATACAAATTCAGCACACACTTTCTGTGTGATTGAGAACAGTGCCAACACGGTTAACCGACTGTTAACAAAGGGAGCCAGAAGCACAACTATAAAGTGCTCACAAGTCCAGAGGTGATGGTGTCGGAATTTCCCCTTCAGAAAACCACACTAACGGCTGCAAAAATAAAAACCGTGACCACAATAACATTCATCAAAGAATGCCACAAAAACGGAAAACCTTGGAGTTTTCAGCTGTCATCAACTCTATTTATGCAATTTCCAAATTATGTCTCCTTACCAAATCCAAATATTGACTTAAGGTTTCCCAACTTTCAGGTCACGCGTCGGTTCACATATTGATTGATTAGCAGCAAGGGGGAGAAGAAAAACTTTGAGTGTGTGTGTCAGATTTAATCATCAGCTGGAACCACAAAGATCTGAGGCTTTATTATAACTACAGAGAGGCAGGAAGTGACTGAATGTCAACGTGTTTATAAAATAGCACTTTGCCATTCATATGTGTGACTGTGTCACGGAAGATTTGTAGAAAGATGTAACACAAAGAGATTATATATCATGTCTGATATCGCTTCTTTGTGTTTGTAAGGATGTGAGAGATGTGGTAATAACTAAGTGAACTTGGTTCTGCTGGCTGTTCCCATTCTGTTCTTTAAAACCAAATACCTATTATGTTACCTAAAACCTAAAAGCAATTTGGCAGTCAATTATACAAAACTGAACAAATCCCCACACTTGAGAAGCGGGGACTTGGCAATTCTTGTACTTCATGACTCATTCGAAACATTAAACCATTTGCTCTAATTGCTCTAATTAATTTTCAGCTGAGCAATTATTTAGACTTTCAGTTCATTGCTGTGAAGGGTCTTAAAGCCAGCTTATCAGGAGGAGGGTTTAATAAAGGATGCCTGGATTTTTTGTTGATGTCTTCGGTTCAGCTTTGCAGTTGTTTTCCCCTTTCTTGTAAAGCTCATGATGGCCTGCTTGGAGGGTGAATAGACCTAAATCACTATCACGAAATAACTCGACACCAAAATGCTTTAAGGTTTGCTGTACAGAACTACAACCTTGCCAAAACTCTTCTTATTTGAAGTGTAGAATAAGTAAGAAACAAAGAAGTACAATCAGATGAACTTTTCCGCAGTTCAAACCAAAGAAAGCTGAGAGGAAAAGTAGTAAAACAAAGAAACTGGGGGTGAGGGTGGTGGAGTGAAATACAAAGACAGTGACACAAGAAGGTGTTGAAGGACAGACAAGATGAATGAAGTAAGAGAAAAAAAGGTATTGGTTTATAATTTGTGTGTGTTAGTGTGTCCATGTGATTCCAAGCCAGGCTCTGTAACTCAAGCTCTTGGAACAACACCTTAGCAAACCATTGACATGTTAATAACCCTGTAATATTAGACCTTGGTAGACAGAGCTTTTATCCCAGGAATCCTATAGTGGACACATATGCTTTTACTGTATGAAGCCCTCAGGGAATTGAACCCACAAAAAAATACTCAGATTAAGTAACATACACCAAAGCAGCCGAGCAATTGTGTCTGTCTGACCAGGGATCAAACTCCAATTTTTCGTAATATTCAGTAATTGTTCTCAGAGGCATCTCTTGACAGGGATTAAAAAAAAACAAACAATGTCTATGTTCAATTTACCTTGGGAAATACTATTGATCAAATGTAGAAGAAAAAAAGAGGCTTATCCCCGTGTTTCAATAAAAGTGCCAGATAAGTAAGCATTTCTTGGAAAAATAAGATTATAACGTGAAACGATACTTCCTAGCGCTTTAAGAAAAAAAGCAGTATGCCGTTTCCATTTAAAAGATTATTTTTTGTGATAACTTCAAACTCTGGCTGCGCTATCTGAGACCCTTTTTCTTTAGAGCTCTAATAATTAATAATTAACTTCTAGCCTAGTGTTGACTTGCAGACACTGAGAAAACAGTGTTTGAGCAAACTGTTCTGACCATTTATAACCTCTTTCTTGTTTTTGGCTTGTGCCAGATATTCCACTTGTAAGTTAAAATTTTCATGAAAAAGAAAAGAAAAACAAAACTTTTCTACTTTGCACTACCTAATAAAGCTAATTTTCTCTGCTCCACTGGATAAAACCTTTTTCATAATGGCATAACAACACGTCACATCGTATTTCTCATCGCACCTTGTTTTGGGGGAGGGGGGGGGGCGGGGGCTTTGTGAGCACTAGTGTAAAAGGTACTCACATGCTGCCACTGCTCTCGGATGAGCGGCCGGTATCGAAGGAAGTACTTTAAAGGGAAGTTATCTATGTCAGGCCACGTGGCGGGGCTGTGCCAGGATACCTCCAGTCTCCGAGGGTTGAAGCGGATCGGGGTCGCTGTCACACGTTCCGGGGGGTCTGGCTTTACTGTAAAGTGGGTATAAACAGTTAGTTAAAGGGGAATATTAAGGTCACTCAGACAGTTGCATAATCTTTTATATAGCACTAAATTGTGTCATAAAGGTGGAGTTAAGGCATTAACTTGTTACTTTAATGATACTTATTTATATCATTGCACACTTTTTTGTTCTTTTTTACTTTAGAAGAATAACAACAATTTTCATAGTTTCAAGTCTAGCAGTGGTCAGCAGCAATTGGCTGCACTCTCAAGGTTAATTGGTGAAATGTCAATTTAGAGAACAACAAATATGAACTTTCACCCAAGACCTGCAACACTATTTGTCCAGCAAATATCTGCACAAATAAAAACTTGCAATGAAAAGTGAGAGCTTTGAAACATGCAGGAAGGGGAAAAGACAGGCAGGGGTGGTGTAACAGAAGCACCTGTTGAACTGAAGACAGAATACATTCACTATTTAGGATCTTCCAGCCTCTGAAACATGATTTAGAATTTTTATTATTTTTTTATTATATCTTGCAAGTCTTGACATGATAGAAGGGATCTATTTAATATTGCTACTACCATTATTATTAGTACATGCTTAAGGTCGGAATGTATTCTAATGCAAGAAAGACTTTAAATAAGGCTGAACTGAAATAAAAAGTTTTAGCTGAAAAAAGTGTCTGAGGTATCTGTGGCAAGACAGAAGATGAGAAGCCATCACTCCCCAATGAAAAGGCATGTGTGTCTGAATACCTGTCCACTGAGGAACACACCAAGACAGAGAGATTGAGAGAATTCAATTGAAAGCTTTTCAGATGATATTGAATGACCCAGTCTTTGTTAGCTCACTCCCACAAGGGAACACACCGGCCTGCCACTTAAGCTACATGAAACCCTTTCCCATCTAGATGCAAACATAGCATTACACAAGCAAATGGAAAACCACAGTAATAATCTCAATGTCTGATAACATACTGATGGCAGCAGTGGATGAAAGCAATGTGGATAAAAAGGTAATGCATACTTATGAAGGCTCATAAACAGGCAGCACATAATTAATGATTGAAAATACGAAAGATGGCTGTTGGCACATACAAACAAGACTGCTTTCTCACTCGAGAAAGAGATGTTAACAATCTCTTTTTGACTTTCAAGTAAATTTTAAAAATCCCGAAAAAACTAGGGAAGCACACAAAGAAAAGAAAAAGAAAATTGCATGCTGGCAGAGCAAGAGCAATGTAAAGCCAGCAGAGACCAGAGAGAATAAATTTTCTTTGTTCAACAGCACCTAACAGAGGAAAAACATGTGCAAGCACAGAACAAAACAGCGAGAAATATGTCTGGGTGGGGCGTCCCTTAGGTTTTTAAAGTATCCATCTGACCTGAAACATATACTAGTAGCTTTGTGTTGCATGAGTAATGAACACATCCTTCACTTGATGACCTCTGCGATAGCAGCTGGGGCGTGACAAAGGAGTGCTTTTTTTATATGAGAGATAAAAGAAAGAGAGGATTTACACTTAAAAGAAGGGTGTGAAATTTACCGAGACAAGAAGTGTTTGGACATTACTGACCGATGCAAATGCAGATTTAAATTTGTGCAATGCAAATACCAGGAAAAAAATATTGTCAGCTATATGCCCAGAATTAGTTTGAAGATAAAATCAACCATGTGATTTAACAAGCTATAGAAAGATAAACAAAAAGAAAGACAAAAAATGTGATCACGGGGTTTCAATTTTTTTGACATCCCGTTGTTCGATATGTTCTTGCCTGGCCTGAAAACGCCTGTCATTCCAGCTTTAGCTTTGTTCTTTCATTTGTGTCCACATTACTGGCCCTCTATTCTCAGTCTCATATTTCACAGTAACTGCAGTCCCTTATTTTCCCCTTTGTCGATGTATTGTAACATAAAAATCTAATCTTTCACAGGCGAGAGACAAACTAATTTTTTTCTTTTAAAAATTGTGGAAAATGTATCTGATATATAGCTTCAACATGTGGTCTCTTTAAACATAAAAAGGGTAAATTCTGCAAAAGAGTGCTGTGTATTTATTTATACATGCATGTATTTTTCGTTTTCTCTGAAATGCTCTGATTTACTGTTTCTAACACGACTGCCATGTGTCTATTCCCTCCACCTAATGGTGTAGCCTGTTTTTTTTTCTTCAAATAAATAGGCTTTTCAGAAAGAACAAAATCTGGACATCAATTCACTGATGTGCTGGATGACATCGTCTAGCAGTGCACGTGCACAAATGGGAAAATTGATCTGCAGTGTTATCTTGCACATTGATCATTGAATCTTGTCTAAGGTGTAATGACAGTTGAGAGCTTTTGTAATGAAGTCCCAAATCAAAATCTCGTTTCTGAAAGTAGCCTGTTTTTGAATTTGTGAATGGACAGATTGCACGTGCGAAAGAGAGTCAGAAGCCAAAGCACAAGCAATTCTGTTGGCTAAATTTAAGGACTAATCTTTGCACGACTGTGGTTTTAATTTGTTTAAGTTACACAAAGTTTGAAGTTTCATTTTGTGTTAGTTTTTTAAGTTATACAATGCGAGATCTTATTACTAAAGCTGGTATCTTTTTCTTTTTTCTTCCAAGAGGAATTTTACAAAATTCTAAAATTCTTCTTCGCAGCTTTGAGGTAAAGAATAATTTTGAACATGGCATGGTTGTTGGTACCAGATGGTCCAGTATTTCCGAAACTGCTGATCTACTGGGATTTTCCCACACAACCATCTGTAGGGTTTACAGACAATGGTCCAAAAAACAGAAAATAGCCAGTGTCCAACAGTTCTCTGGGCAAAAATGTCTTGTTGATGTCTGAGGAAAACAGCCAGACTAGTTCGAAGGAAACAGTAAATGAAATAACCACTTGTTACAACCAAGGAAACAGAAGGGTTTCTCTGAACGTACAATGTGTCAGACCCTGAAGGGGATGCCACTCCTGTCAGCTAAGAACAGGAAACTGAGTCTACAAAACTGGAAAACAGAAGATTGGGAAAAAAAGTAAAAATCCCGGTCTGATGAAACTCGATCTCTGTTGCTGAATCCTGACGGTAGGCTCATAATTTGGTATAAACATGAAAACAGGTATCCATGCTGCCTCCAGGTGTAATAGTGTGAGGATTACTTTGCTGAGTATTTTTGATAACCATCCTTTCATGACTGCATCTCAAACTGATTTATTGAACTTTAAAATAAGTCACTAGAGCTCAGGCCGAAAGAGCACCTTCAGCATTTGGTGAAACAGCAGAGACACATTAAAAATATACTTTGACTGGTTACTTCTGGCTGACTATTGTAGCCCCCACAGACTATCCCAAGTTAATACACCCGAATGAAGACCTCTCTTCTAAGAAACAATTCAAAGCATGACACAGGTAAGAAATAATTTCAATGATTTCAGTTACTGCAGCTACTCTGACCTGGTGGAATTAGGTTACAACATATTGTCTTTCATCTCATTGGATGAGTAATGTAGTAAAGCTGAATGACAGCGGGTGCTCAGGTGGGCTGCTGTCAGAACTGCCAGCAAAAAAAAGCTCTTTGTTGTAAGTGAAAATACTTTAACTGTAGAAGCCTTTAAAGCTCGGCAAGATCAGTTAGCGTTTGATCATCTTGGCACTAGAAAGCTTTAAGTTATCATTTGATGAGTGTGGAGCTTCCTTGAGGGTTCTCTTTGTAACTTCACCCACAGCACGCACATGTAGGGACACACATGCAAGCACACACATCTCATCTCATCTAATTCCGCCCCAGCTTTGGTCGGATGAACAAGGACAGTTGAGAACCGTCTTACTCCCGCTCAGAATTCAGAAGTGAACCAGGAAGCATGAAATTGTTTTATTTATTTACGATCTGCCTCGTTGTCCCTGAAAATGAATGTGACTTACATCGTAGAATGGCATAAGAAAGACTTTTAACAATGCAGGAACGAAGAACAGATGAGGTGAGGAGAGACAGGAGGGCTAAGTTTCAAAACATACTTTGTTAGAAGTTTTGGCCTTTCAACTAGCAACTTTGCAAACTTTGCAACTTTGCAAAGGTTCGGGCTTGTTTTCTAGAGTCAGTGACAGAAAGTTTCTGTAGCCACCGCTTCTCTTTGGGATCAATGACAGCTGTATCAGTTATCCAGGAGGAAAAGCGAGTGATTGCGTGTAGATCTACAGTTCAAAAGAAGCAAACTTTACTTTATTCAGACCAGAGTATGTAACACCTAGTTATATGTAGCTGTAAGCAACTAAGTATGTTTTAAGGCTTAAAAAAAATAAAACAACCAAAAGCATGGACGAAAAATGCAGAAAAAAAAGTGAAATAAAATGATTGTTTGATAATAGCAAAAGAGAGGGAGCGATAACAGGAAGGAAGGAATTAAAACAGGAGGAAATAAAGGCGGGAAAGAAATGCAAAGTTACACTTTTCAGGAAATGAAGAGAAGGAAGAATTAAATGGTATTTTGCAGTGGGGTATTTTGCTATTACCGATAGTTGAGGGATATTTCCTCAGCCAAAGCACTAATCCGGCTACCATTAGCATTTTCATGAGTCCTGTGTCCGGGGCTTGGCAGAGCATGTCACTGCCTCATTTGGTTACTTATGTGTACACACACACAACCACACACACACACACAACCACACACACACACACACAAACTCGCACACGAACAACACACACACACAGACTTTCTTTCTTTCCTCTCTCTCTCTGTCTCTCATTTTCAATACCTAACCCTCTCAACCGACACTCCGCACAATCGCTCACAGCCCCATTGGTGTCTGTGTGTGTTTATGCACCATGCACACCCATATCACCCTAAGCAATGCAATAGAGCTGAGGACTGCTGGCAGCAGTTCCCTTATCTATCAAAGTACTCCTCATTCCTTCTTTAAAATGAATTTCTCCTCTTCACTGCTTTCCAGTCAGAGTTGCTTGTGAATTTCAAGAGTACTGCTGTTATTATGTGGCCTTTGGTAGAGTAACTGATGAAAAACTTCACAATTCAAAGTTAATTTTGAAATGACTCGCCACATAATGAATTAATTAATTGAAAGTAAAAAAAAAAAAAAATCAACCTTGAAGCACATTTATGGCTTCTTTTGTTTTTGGTTTTTTTAGATCAGAAATGTGCTGATATGGCAGCTGGTGTTTTGGCTGAGGGAAAGTGAGAAACCAGACCATTGATTTGTGACCATCACATCCTGTCCAAACCTCAATTAAATACTGTTTGCTGCAGAAAAGGTTCAGAGGTCGATTGTTTATTATCTGCTGCTTTTGGTAATGGCACGGATGCACAGTCAGTGGGTTTCTCGCTAATGGACTATGCTGTGGGTTAAAAAAACAAACAAAAAAACCCCCAAACAAAACTGTACACTTCTGCTATCAGCTGGGTGACATTTATTTGGCCATTGCATTTTCAATTTTCTATGTCTTCCTGGCACCAAGCATTGCTGTGTGTGCAACAAATCTCCAAAGGGAACCAGAAATGAATGAAATCAGTCATCTGTGAGCAAACAAATGCATTAACATTGCTCGGCGGTTGGCACACATAAAGAGATGCCTTGACACTCGGCATTTTAGTTTTTTCCTTTGCCAAATACCCGTCAATCTTTGTGGGAAAAACATTTTACATTTGTCCCTGAACTATGTGCGGATAACGATTTTAATGAAAAAGTGGTAATTTGTTGCGAGCGGAACGGTTTAGGAGCAAATACTTGTAAGATTTTCAAAATGTCAGTGTGGGTTTCATTTAAACTCTTTGAATTCAGGGCTTAATGGAACCCTCTAATTGTGAGCAAAACTTAATAAGAAAGCACAACTGTTTCCTTTCTGTGTAGCTGCAGCAAAAAGCCTGTAATTCATTTCGAGTCACATTTGGTCAACACACGCAACTTCATGAGTGCTTTACGATGCAACGGAGTGAAGGAACAGGAAAAGAGAATGTAACAGAAACCACAAAGCATAACACAGAGCATGTTTTACCTATAGTGGACTCTTCAAAAGTTTTAGTGGCAGAAGCTTTCCCCAAAGCATTGATGGCTGTTACATTAACTTTGTAGGGGAAGCTGGAGAAAACCTCTGGGAAGCGTACATGGCAGCGGTTCTTGTGGAACAAATCTTTCTTCACCTCGAGTGAACGCTGGTTATGTCTGAAGAGAAAAAGGTGAGAGAACAGGGAAAAAAGGAACAGCTGTTGCAGGTTTTCTGCTTAAAGGCAAAAACTGTTGTAGACTAAAGACTGAATGATACAGATACTTAACACAAACACTGAACACTAAAGACATGGGCTTGCTATTAATTAATCTTTAGCTATGGCCCATTCCTCATCTTTATTCAAAGAGAATAATATTAGTGTTACAAATTCAATGAAAGCACCTGCCATGGTGTTGGCTGTGGGACTCTGGGAGTCTCAAAGAGAACTTGACAGAGACCCACTTCTAAAATGCTAAAATTCGTCTAGGCAACCGAGACTTGTTTGTTTGCCATGCTGGACTAAGATATGAACCAAAATGATTATATCACTCTTACTGTTTTATTATTATAATGGCAAAATAACAGGAAATAATCTTCAGAAATCCACAGGTTTCATCCTGAAACATCTGTATATGCATAAAATGCACTTACTGTACTTCCACATCAAATGTAGTGTTGATGTACGTTGAATGCTGCTGGTGCCAGCTGCAGTAAAAACCTTGAGGGTAGGTGTTGGACCTACAGGTGATAGTAGGCTCCAGAGGGGGAACTATAGAGAGAATAATGAGAAGAGAAGGGAGGGGAAGATGGTTAATGACTATCTACATGTATACAACTGAGGCAGACATGAAAAGAAGCATACCAAGAGGAGGGATCACAATCAGATGAATGCACATTGCAATATTCAAAGGCAAGGCAACAGTGCCTTACACATTACCTCACTGCATAATTCAGTTTCCATCAAATGTTTAATTGAAAAGGCTGCTACTCAGTTAAAATTAAGACATGTTTCTGCCAAGTTTTTTGAAAACTTAATTAATTTTGTTGTTGTTGCGTACTATATTTAAATATTTAATAAGACTAATTAAAATTTAATGAAAGTTTAATTAAAATCATGGAAATTTTAGAGTATGACTTTTCTATAAAGTTAATCTCAGGCAAAATTAAAAGTGATGTTTTCATTTCTTCACTATATCAGTGCTGTTTGCCGTTGTGGCTGAGAGAATCAAAAAAAGAAATTAAAACAAAGAAAAGAAGGAAATAAATAATTTGTGGTGATTTGTTTTCTTATTTGTCTGAATTCTGTTTATAGAGTTAAGGAAATGATGAAAAAACAAAGGAGAAAGGGTTGCAGTGTTTGGGGGACTGGCGTTGGGGTGCCGGTGTTGATGCTGTGTGGAGACACAGAGGATATTGAAGTGGTAGAGCACAAGAAGAATAAAAGAGTTTGGCAAGAAAACGTGATGTTACACCAGCTCTAACCTCCTCTGAGATTAGGGTTCTTTTTCACGGTTAGCCAACCATGTACTCGTCTGCCACTCCCTCTCTCTCCACACAACTTTTCAACATTTTACCTTTGTTATAGCTAATATAGCGCATGGACACAGCTCCACTGCTAAAACCAATCTTGGTGAGTTTCATTATTTCCCCCCTTGTGAAGTTCTTTTGTGTCTTTTCCTTTCACCTAATCATCCTCCTTTTGCTTTCAGTTAGCTGATGTTGATCTAAATTATGGCTTATAATTACACACTAGAAGGTACTCATCAATTATTCAGATTACTGTGGGGTGTGTGTGTTTGTGTGTGTATCTAGCTATATATCTAGGGCTGAGGACATGCTCCAGACAACTGCACTTTACAACACTTAATACAATACTACTTCTTAAATTGTTTGCTTATTGCATATCCTATTGTATACTCTATTTCCCTTTTTTGTTTTTTATTTTTTGTGTGTTTGTCTGTGTTTTTAAACTTTCTGTTCTACTCCGAGTGCTAATGCACAGTATTTTGTTATGTGAAGACATAATGACAAAAAAACTTGAATCAATCTATCTATCTATCTATCTATCTATCTATCTATCTATCTATCTATCTATCTATCTATCTATCTATCTATCTATCTATCTATCTATCTATCTATC